CGATGTTTCCGTTAGTTATGCGGCGGAACCTACCTGAACAGAAAGACTGATCTGTAGTATTCGATGAATGGCAGGGGGAATCATTTTAGAAAATTTAGTCATATTAAATGACCCACGTCATGTAGGAAATCGACCATGAGGTCTGCAAGAACCGGTCATCGACTTTCGCTCGCCTTCCACCTGCATACTAGATGGATTGACTCCTGTGGAGGTATAGCTCCGGGATTCAGGACAGGTTCTTTTTTATAAAGCTTTCCGCGAGTTTGGCTGGAGGTTTGAATACAGACGGGAACAGTTTAATCTCCTGTAAACGATCACCATAACACTTTTGTACGAGACGCATAACACCCGCAACAAAGACGCCGGAACCGAAAAGGTTAGCGGTCGAGAAGCTGTAGAGTGAACACCAGGAGTTTTTGCGCAGAACTGGTGTCATTTTCGTGTTTTTTAGTTCAAGGAACTTTTGGTCAAATCTACGTCCAAGGATAAAGTTAGAGAAAAATTTAGAAGTATTTGAAATTACATCACGAAAAAGGTGCAGATCTGTTGGCACTATTGTGGGTCAACGGGAATTCACTGTAGCGGAAACTGTAGGAGAGCTACGGAAAAGGACGTAATGTAAGAAAATCTCGCCTCGTTTCTCGAAATACTCATCCGCTCTGAATAAGAGTAAATTTCCTCCATCACTTCAGCGGTTTCGCCTGAAGCTTGCGTAATAAACATCATAAGGATACAGTCATCGCCGTTGGCTAATCGCTCTTGGTAAGCGCATTCTGCATTCTTTCAGGATCATAGTGGCTTTTCAATGAGATATGCCCTATTGAAAGACTTCGTGTGGTAAACCGATGCACACATCAGTGCCGTTATCCTCCCAGACAAAACCGTTACCGATTCACTAACTTTGAATGGTAGGAGGTTTGCAGGGAGTGATAAGTGATAAGTGATTTCACTCCCGGACCGTGTACGCGTGCCGGTTGCCAATACACCCCCTCCACCTGGAGCTTGGATGGACTGGATATGACAATCCGATGTATTCTGGCATCCTTACGGAGCGCTAACAGTCTTGAGGCACAGCCACATTTACAAATGCCCTCACGGCTGAACAGAACGATCTCAATGAAAAGTCGTGAGGACAGAAACGGAAATCTATCAGACGATACTCTTCGGTTGCCTGGAGGCCGGATTCAGTGGGGCACTAGCGCTACGGTGTAGTTTAGACTGACTCAGTAACCGTCCATCAATTACCAGAGCAATACTGGATGGAAGCCAAAGCGGCTCATACCAATTCGGATAATTCCACGCTGAGCGGCCTTTGTATAAAAAAACAAATTTAAATATCGTATGAATTCAGATTGGCGGTGGTGCCGCCGCTTGCGGCCCACTGGTTAAATCTTGGATCGGCTCTCTCGCTGTTCATTCCAGGCTTCTACTCTCCGCGGACGGTGAACTGGTACCAGACTGGTCTGCATGGATAAGAGCAATCACCTAAATTTACCTGTGCATCGGTTAGCCCACACAAGTGGTTGCCCCCATCCCCCCCCCTCTTTGCAGTCCTTATGGCATTTAACACGTTGACGACAATCGCGTTTTGCGGGAAAGCGCCACGTGGGACAATGGCGTGCTTTCGCATGCGTCCGCCCTGAGCCACCGGTGGCTCATATTGTCCCTCGTGGACCACTTTTTTGCCGCTATGTCAAATTTCGCAAAATGATAAGTCAATCGTGTAGGGACTGCTATTTCAACCATCTTTGACCCTATTGGATGCCATCTCATGCCCCGCCCTCTGCGATCACGCCCACTTTTTAGCGCGATCGTGATTTCCAAAATGTGTACCATAACTTCCGTTTCTGAGAATTTTCTTGGAATTTTCTGCTTTTCACACATTACAATGATTCATAGATGGCCACAATCACTTCTTAACAGATTTGTTTTACGTTTAATTTTCATACGTTGACGCTTTCAAACACACTCTTCACATACTTGCTCCAAGAGCAAGCAATTGCACAAAGATGCATAAGGCTCCGCACACTTAGCTCCGCCCACTTTAGATCGATTTTCGCGATTTCTAGCAATATTTTATTATCACTATTTATCCATATTTTATTTCCACTATCCATATTTTATCACTTGTTCACCATCTCAAGATCACCAAACGGCGTTAATACTGAGAAGGAATGATACATTCGTGACCAGGATGCCAAATAACCCAGGTGTTCGAGTTTGTACCCAATTCGGTGCCAAGAAGATCGCTGGCGGGCAGGGCGCCAACTTCGGAAGGTAACGATATAATTCGTGACAAGGATGTCAAATAACCTAGGTGTAGAGGTTACTATCAAATTCGTTGTCAAAAAGACTGCTAGCGCCAAAGTAGCGCCTACTGGCGCCATATGGCGGCCAATGACAAGTGAGATCATCACGTTCATGATCAGAGACCCGCGCAGTCCCTGCAGCCAAGGTTTCGTCCAAAAAGAACTATTTTGGAGGTTTCTGCCGCAGCAGTAGCTAGTTGAAAAATTTCAATTTTTAATTCAAAATATCTCATGGGGGCAGCAACATTTTTCTTGCTCATCCTTGTTGGAAACTCACCTTCCACAGGTTACTCGAAAGCAAGAAAGAGATCGATTGAGACTGCCGGCAGTAACCCAAAAAGTGATGGAGAAAGTCATGAGCCACCGGTGGCTCAGATTGTCCCACGTGGCCACTCACTCATGAGCCACCGGTGGCTCAGGATGTCGTCAACGTGTTAAGAGGCCACTACGATTGTGAATGGAACGTACCATACCTCAAAAAGAGATTTACCAACACTGAAACTCCAAAATTAAAGCCTTATATCAAAGTGGTGAATAGCGCATTTGTGCTCTACAATAACTTCCTAGTTTTCCAGACGCCTTTTTCTATGGCGAGACAATCTGAAAACGATTTCTGGAAGAAAACGACGCAGCCTCAGCTTCAATTTTCTTTCACTACGAAAAGGGATACAAGGCCCAACTTTATGTGAACACACAAAAGATACGGTTTTTTACTCTGGATCCAACAAAGTAAACGACTATTGCGTGTGTTTGTGCCTGCCCGGGCGCAAACACATACCTGTGGTCCCGCCCACACTCTTTCGGGTGTCTAACCACTCTCTCTTGGCAATATAAAAGCAGTCAACCAGGGTCGCGCAATCGTCGATAATGTTCTCGCTGGTTCTAGCCTTTTTCCTTGTGGCTGTCGCCAATGCGCAGCCTGGTAAGTGATACCCTAGTATTTTTTTATTAAGTTTTGAATATCTCTTTATAAATGCATACGATTTACGTGTGTTACTTCCTAAAGGAGTTGACTGACTGTTTAGGACCGAAAATGGTCGACGAGACGACGCGGTGGAGTCAGTGCAAAGATGTGAACCAGTCTATTTATGACTTTCAGGTATGAGATGAGAATCAAAATGGCGCCGATCATTTTGTCGTCACGTACTGACTTTACGAGGGCTTTTTCAGATGGAAACGTTACAAGGGCAATTCACCGACCTATCACAATACAAGGGACAAGTTCTTCTGATAATCAATGTTGCAACATTCTGCGGTGAGGAATTCATACTATGTTTCCTTGGCCTTGGGAGTAATTGGGAAACTTCCGAAAGAAGTAGACTCTATGGTTCTACAGACTTTCCTCGTCCTTATGAAGAGAGTACGGTATTCCGAAACATAAGTCCGAGACCTACAAATAGTAGACTGGCAGTTCTCACTTCAACACAATAAAAAAATATCATGTAGTGTAGATAGCATTAAATTCACGCCATCGTTATCTGAAACCGCACAACTGCTTTACTTACATTAACAAAGGGTATAGCTAGAGATTGCTGGAGACACTATTTTTGTTGATGGAAGTCTATCCAGTCAGCTGATTTTTGCAATTCCACGCTAACTTCTTGATAGGTTTGCTTTCCGGTCTCTCGGTTCAATAGATTTCTCCCCAAGAAAGGCTATTTCCCACATTTTCACGAAATTTGACTCACTTGTTGGGAATTCCCCACTACTACTCTGGTTTACTACCCAGAAACCGAAACGGACAGAACAGAATGCTTGAATGAATAGTAAAAGCTCAACGATTGACCTAAAATAGCATCTTATATAAAAGGATGCCTTGTAAAGGAAAATGCGGTGCCTGTCAACTTGCAGGGGGGTATTTGGAGCTTCTTGGGCGGGACTGGAACAGGCGTATTGGAGGAGGGGATCTTTGCCCGAGCCTGAAGCGGGACAAGAGCTTAACAGGGGGCATAACCATATAAAAGTTGCAGGTTATTTCCTATTCGACTTAATTCGGAAAACCGTTTCTCAGTTACGCTCAAAAAATTTCTCAAAACGCTTGCTCCTCGCTCTCCTCCCTCCCCTCCCGCAAAGCGACCGAGTGTTGCCAGTGTTAGATAGTCCAAAAACCTAACTCTCTAGGTGTTCCCAAATACTACTAGAAGTAAGATTCATGTCAAAGTCTCGTTTTCATGATGTTAACACCACACTGCTCGTAGCTTTTCAAGAAAGAAAACCGAAATAGAAGAGATACCGGTTTCTCGAAAGATGTAACATTTCTTTTGATAAGAACTATCCGTATTACAATGATAAGCCCTTGTTGCCGAAATCGTCACGTAATTGATGACTTAACAACTTACAATACATTTTCGGAACTTTGTAGTAGCCAAAAAACTTTAGAGTTTTACGTTAGAGATAACAACAACTCTTTTCGCTCCCCCTTTTATTTTAAAAGTCACGTGTCGCAGAACGAACCTGCCGGTTCACTTCACAGGCACAGTTTCTTTTTTTGAAGCATTTTTTTCCTCGCGCATAAGTGATGCGTAAAATTCGGTAACAGAACTAAGAGATGTAAATAGCATTTTTGATCATGTGACAGAAGTGAGTGGAACTTCTCCTGTCCTCCCTGAACTAGGGGATCTCTCAGAGTTCTCGTATATGAGGGAGTCTTCTACAGCGCCACTTAGCTGGGTAGACATTCTGACGGTTGGGCTGACTTCCACATCTGCGGATCCCACAGTTCATAGCGACATTAAGTGAAAAAGCCCAACAGTGCATTGCGCTACATAATCAAATGTTTGTTTAATGACTATTGACCCGGAATTTGGATTTCTCTATGGGTGTGGTACACAAGGCGCCCTTTCAGCGCCCAGCTAGCCATGACCAGAGTGAGACGGAGTAACACCTACCTTTTTACGCGGTCGCATACTGATCAGGCAACTCTCTCCTGGTAACTACTATCTGATCAATTGATTCCATTTACGAGCGTCTCGATGGAAAATCAGCGTTCTTATTGGAAGGTCGTTTGCTACAATGGCTATGCCCCACGCTCCCACTTCTCAGGACATTGTAGAATTACAAGTGTGGGCAGAATATGTTGGCACTCAGGTGACGAGTTTGGACTGAGCTCACACCATAAACGTCACAGCTGATACCGTTGAAGTGAATTGCGTGGTCACGCTTTTGATGTTATCTGGCATCTGCCTGTCGTGGGAAAAAATCAGCCGGTCGAGTGAAACGGTAAGATTTCTGAAGGCACGATCGAAATGACGATCGGTCATGCTCCCCGAGCATGACCAAGCTCGTTCTTTGCCAAAACTTTCAACATTTGAACATTGGAAAGGTCGCTCTCTTCTTGTTGCGTTTCCTTCTCGTTACAAAGTCCAATACGATAATCGTCAACATCGCAGACCCAATTCCTGAAGATACAGCGGTGGTTTGGTCTTCTCTCGTAACCTATAAACAAGGGAAAATGATCGAAAATGTTGTACTGGGTAAATGATGACGTAACAGGAAGCAAAAAGTTCGTCAACAGAGATGCTGTGGGAAACTTCATCACACGTTATCTAGGAGATACTGGCTACTGCCAATAATAACCTTCCTGCGCTTGTGACAGAGAGCATAACCGCTCAGATACTGGGCGGACCCCTAAATCTCACCCCTTCTCAGTATTGTCTCCGAAAAGGACGAGAAGGACGTTAAGGATTCGCCAACGCAGGTGATGTGGGAGCCATTGTCGGTCCCTGGACTCGTAATGATGTCACATTTGTCTTTTTATGGCTGCTAGTTTTGTACGGGACCCTTCGTCTTTCGAGATTTTGAGAGGATCCAGTTCATTCAGCCACCCTAAATTTCGTTGCAGTACGTCTTAAGTCTTTCCATAGGTCTTGAAGCCTGGAAACTTCTTCAATTCCGGAGATACAACATCATACG